ATAAATTACAGAATTAGTTAGTAAAATCTAATGCTCAATTTGCAAAATGTCCATCAATCGTGTTAAAATCACTTAGAATTCCTTTGTTCTTGCATTTTCATACTAATTTTCATTCTTTACTGTTCGATCCTCTCATCTCTCTACTGCCAGACATTTTGTTCATGACTCACGTCATATACTACTTGTGTCTACATAAGTAGCACACACCACAATAGTAGTAGTAATATTACTAATAGTATTGATAATCATAGTAATGATAATAATACTAATCATACTAATAATAGTCATATCAATATTTATAGTAATAATAATCATACTCATGATAATCATGGTAATAGTAACCATATTAATAGTAATAATAATATTAATAATAATGTGTCTATAAATGATAATACATATATTTAGTTAGAAATTATTCTTGTTATATATTTCTTTTTTTTTGCTGCTTCGTTTTTTTTTCTTTATCTCTTTTTTATTCTTCTTTCTCTTTTCTCTCTTTTTTCGTTATTATTATTATTATTATTATTATTATTATTATTTTGAATAGAAATTAGAATAGAGAATATAAAAAAAGAAGAAGGAGAAGAATATCTCATATTGAAAGGATAAGAAAAAAAGAAATGAATGAAAATAAATTTTAAGAAAAAAAAATAAATAAATACAAAAAAGAATTTTTCATTGATCTTCTTTTTTCTTTTTAATTTAAAACAATCAATCCATGACAATAACATGGTTAACAATCATAAAAATTATATAATACCACCACTACTAATAATAATAATAATTATTATTATTATTATTAAAATTTATTTATTCATAGATCATAATGATCGAATTGATTGGATCCAGATCAAATGAATAATTATTTGTAATCAATAATTGATCATAGAAATTAGGGTTGTTGTTTTTTTTTTATTGAAATTTTTTTTAAATCTTATTACTAAGGAAAGCACCCAACTGTGTTACAAGGCAAGACCTCACATAGAAACCTCAAGGTCAAATGAGGAAAACAGGAATACCAATGAATATATTACGACAGGAAATGGAGATAGACAGACATGAGAATAATGAACAAGAATTGAATGGAATTAGATAAAAAAGTGGAGGACAGAGTGGATTGGAGAATGCTGGTCAGCGGCCTATACTCCATTAGGAGTAACAGACGTAAGTAAGTAAGTAAGTTGATACTAAAAGTCTAAAATTTTATTGATCAACGAGTGAATTCCCCCAGTTTTTTTAAATAAAATATTTTAATGGTTAAGATCATGAGTCAGTTGAAGGTAGACCACCATGGAAAACTTGGAAGTACTGGACGGCTATTTCGTTTTATTGTGGATAAGCACTGCTGAGAAGTTCCACAATAGGACGAAATAGCCGTTCAGTGCTTCCAAGTTTTCCATGGTGATCTAACTTCAACTGACTCATGATCTTAACCATTGAAATTACTACAATCTCGACAAAACCCCTTCTGATATTAAATATTTTTATTTAATAAAATCTATTCATTTAATAAAACAAAACAAAATAAAATTAACTTATATAGTTTTAAATGATGAAGAGAGTTGTTCATATCAAGTATAAGATATAGAAGGGGTCATTATGATAAATCAAACCATCCAGCTCAGAGAACAAACTTCATCAAAATCATCCACCTGAGCTACAAATCTCCTCCACCATCTCAATGTTTCTATGTATATTTAGATATCTGTTAAGTCCCGGATAAGCATAATGAATGGTAACTGTTCAGAAAGACGTTTATGAACACCTCAACATATCAAGTTCCTTTATACCAAGATTATATGAACTTCCAAAAAGTTTATAAGAATAATATCCCTCTACATTTCTATACTTGATATGAATAATTTTTCTTATCATTTGATCATTATATGGTTACTTGATGTTATACAACCTATTAAAAATCATATGAATAAATATAATTCTCTTAATTCCTTTAAATTTGTCGAATCAATTAGAATTAGAACGAAACGCCCATCCAATGCTTCCAGGTTTTCAATGGTGATCTAATATCAATCGGTTCATGATCTCAATCCAAAAAAACTTGACAGTCTCCACAACCCCTAAACTGATAATTACAATGTGCTCACTAGTGAATAGCTTCGTGAGAAAATTCTCGGATTTATAGTAAGAAGTCGTGACCAGTGGAGCTAATCCGTGTCGAATAGAAACAGGTGTCTACTTCAGTACAATGGAAGATGATCACGCAACTTCGTGGTTTGTATATATTTGTAAAACTGTATCATATAATGGTTAAAGTATTTATAGAAGAAAGAGGTTTTTGTAGATATTATCATAATTTTATTAGTTGAATTCATGAAACAGTTAAAGCATTGGATGACCAGTTTGTCCTATTATGGGACTCCTCAACAGTACGTATCCACGATTCCATCCCATGGGATTTGAATGCAGGATTGAATGGTCTCACATGTGAACTCTTAAACTTTAGACCATCGAGTCGGCATCCAACGGTGTTAATGTCTCACTTCAACTAATCCACGAAATTAAGCCACCATCTACCATTATCTTCAGTGAGTTACTATATCATAACAGATCCGGTTGTCCAGTACTTCCAGGTTTTTCCATGATGGTCTAGCTTTAATTGACTCATGAATTCAACTATGCAAGTATTATTATTCACTCTTTGATGTCATCATGAGTATTAATATATTCTTAAAACATTTGGCGAAAATCCATTACTAATGGAAGTAAACATCAAAACAATAAGCACCAGTTAATTTCAAATTAGTTTCTACTAAAAAAGTTATTTATTTTAACACATAAGAGGCACCAAATGCATATGCGCCACACAGATCTCATTTGATTTGTGTGAGGGCTGTGATACTGTCCGGGTGCCCAAACCAAAGCAGGTGGTTTACTTACGGGGGCACACCCGGAGCCTTTGATCTAAAAGTCTAATCCATAAGGCAGTGGAGCATCGTAAGGAGATGCAGTCCTATAGTAGCCGTTGACTAACGATTAGTTCATACGCCATTTGTTCCTTCAGGATGCTGGAGCGCATGTGCACCACTGGTTTGGGATCAGGGTTTTCCAACTCCCCTAGGTGGACTCTCCGTGTCCACCGACCCGGTTAAATCGCCAACCTAAAGAAGTTATTTAGTGGAATATGTTTTGTTCAATGAACAATCTAAACATCGGTATTATATTGCTTGGTATTTTGATCCATGAATATGATATGAATGTTTTTATAAAACAATAACAACTGAAATAATCTATGAATGAAATTGAATTTTTTAATCTTGAATATCAGATGAACTTTTTACCTACACTTACGACTATGTTAGGGACTTTAGATCTCCAAAACTTATAGTTTGTAATTTAATCTCTGTGGAGCTTTTATGCCGATGTATGCTTGGGCATTTCTTACCACCTAAACACATAGTCGATTGACGAACTTATCGATTAAATGTTTAAAAAACTTCCATGGCAATATCAATTATATATTTTTCTATAAATACGTTTGATTTGTGTGCGTGATTGATCTGGTATCTTCTGGTTGCCTGTAGAATACACATTCCACGTCTTACCAAGACTTCTTGATCGAGTTAGCTGAGTTGAGGACAACGGACTAGAATAGCCTATCGAGTCTCTGAATCCTTGATTCGTTGTTCCATTCCGAGTAAGACGAATCAGTAGTAGCAGTCAAGTGTCACAAACTTAACAGATTAATTACTTAATCTAATAATCATATGATAGACAAGATTTCTATATGTACATTTTCCTAACTTTTGATGGGCTATCAAAATCTTTTATGATTGACTATGACGGATCATGAATGTTCTTGATTGAATAGTTTCAAACTGGACCGAAATAGATGTTCGTCGTGTTGGGGTATTCAGAAAATACCCCAGAAATTGTTTAGTGCTATTCCTGAATGAGAAGCAGTGTCATTTCCCCTTTGGTCAACATTCTTCCAACGTGTCATCTCCTTATTGGTCAATATTTATTTGTGTCATTTCCTGAAGGTTAAATCTTGTACAAATGTTACTTTCTATTTATGGTACGATGTAGTCTGTTTGTTTGGTATATAAACAGTGTATGTTTGAAATATAACGATTCATATCTCCGAGGCTGAGACTTGTGTTCTGGACTCAATTGGCTGGGCTAGACAGGGAAGCAGGACTAATCAGGACTCTAGGCTGCTCGCTCGTATTTTGTGCGTCAGTGTTTCGATCGATAATAGGCTGCCATCCAATAGGCGGATCACACGTTATAACACGTCGTTGTGTTTTCACTATAGAATTTTGCTGATTACTGAATTTTATGGGATACATACTAGAATGAAGTAGTTGTTTAGTGCTATCAGATCTTTAATAGTGATTTAACTTATTTAACTGAACAGAAATATATAATCAATATTGGGGTTATGGAGATTATTAAGTTTTCGATTGAGATCAGCTGAGAAGTCCCATACTGGGACGAAACGGCCGTCCAGTGCTTCCAGGTTTCCGACGGTGGTCTAACATCGGCCGATTCATGATCTCAATAGAAAACCTAATAATCTCCACAACCCCAATACTGTAATCAACATGTGCTCACTAGTGACTAGCTTTGTGAGAGGATTCTCGGAGTTCAAGTGGGAAGCTGTGACCAGTGGAGCTAATCCGTGCTGGGTAGAGACAGGTATATAACTCAGTACGATGGAAAATGGTCGCGCAACTTCGTAGATTGGTTGTGGTTAGACATTATTACTATTGGATGCTGACTCAGTGGTTCAGTAGGTTAAGCGTTTGCGCACGAGACTAAAGGCTATGCGTTTGAATCCCTTGAGCGGGATCGTGGATGCGGAGTGCTGATGAGTCCCATACTAGAACAAAACGTCCATCCAGTGCTTCCAGATTTCCAACGGTGGTCTAACATCGGTCGATTCATGATCTCAATCGAGAAATATATTAAATGAAAAATGAATCATTCAAATTGATTATTTTAAAATATACCAAACAAAATCATAAAAAAAATCTCACTTCTTGTGGTGGAACATCAAATGTTACTGTTCTTAAATCAACTTTACGCATACGATCCATACATGGTACAACAAAAAATAAACCTGGACCTTTAGCACCACCAGGTAATATACGACCTAAACGAAATATAACTGCTCGTTCATATTCAGCAATAACCTAAATTATAAATTGAATTAAGATAATTAGATCATAAATAAAGATAAAGGAATAAAGATTTTTTTTCTTTGAAATGAAAAAAACAAACATTTTGTTGAGAATGTTAGATCCCTAGAATTCATTTGGGAAAAGACTTAATTTTGTAGTTTAATTTAGAAAACGTCAAAGGTACTCTTGTCATCTTCATGTGGTATTTAACACTTGGGAAATATCTTAAATGCTATTGGTCCGTTGTGTCTTTTAGTTGGCTATTTAGTAATTCTCCCCAAGGATGGTTTTGTACTGTATATATATGTATATGTGTGTTTTGATTTGTGTTTGTTGTTATCGCTCGTTTCTGGCATTTTCCAGAATATGTTTCCGCATTCCAAGCTTCAACTTCTTCCTCTAGTTAGCGGGACTGGGACGCATCAAATAACTAGCTTATTGGCTTTCGGTCACTGAGTCTTTGTTCCGTTCGCAGTCTAAGTGAACTTGTAACCTCTTCAAACCTAACACATTGTCACTAATCTAACATTTTTATAAATAAATATTGATTCCGTTTATATCGATTAAACAATAAATGATCATAAAAAGTTATATTTTGTTGAGCTAAGATACAGATCAAATGTTATAGAAGAACTAGCTGTTTATTACAGATGGAATAGTTCAATGCTATGAAAAATTATATGAAGTACAACTGAACTACAGTAAGAACTATTTGCCTTTATCATATAAACAGACTATGGTTTGATAACTAGAAAATATTGAATACAATATACTTCCCCCAATGATAATAATGTGCACTGCTGAGGAGTCACACACTAGGACGAAACGGTAGTCTAGTGTTTTCAGGTTCTCCATGGTGGTGTAGCTTCAATTGACTCATGATCTTAATTATTGAAATAATAAATCTATTGATTAACCCATTCTTGATAAGTAAATATGTTGCTTCATTAAATATGAACTACTGTTCAATTATAGGTAGGAAAATTGTTTGAATTTCAACTATGAATACAGTTACTGCATGTAATCATGTTAACCGCAGAAGTCGAAGCTATTCTGTGGAAAGATGATGCTTTAGCGGTCAATATTTGAAGGATGTTTGTTCTCTGAGCTGAATGGTTTAGTTGTGGAGCTTTTATCGTTCTTCTAAACGACATCATCAGCACAAATTGCAACTTGAAGTGAAGTGTTCTAATTTCTCCATATGTGGTTCACAACTTATTATGTAGACCTCGATGTTGATTAGTGCTTGTTGACCTTAAACCTGTCATTGTTTACTTCTTTGTTTTGGTTACATCTGACAAAAAGGGACACCAATGGGATTAACAATATCTGGATTTATCGCAGAAGCAGTGATGCAGACATTAGAAGCTTCGATCTTACCTGTGATCAGCCTGTAGGTGTTTCCCAGGTTATCCTTTTTGATAATGACGAATGTGACGTCGACATAATGAATCCGAATTTTCAGTGTACATGATAAGCTGTGAATCACATGTGGAAAAATTAGAACAATCCACTTTTATCTGAAGTTTTTGCTGCCAATGTCGTTCAAAAGAATGATGAAAGCTCCACGATCAAACCATCCATTTGAGAGAATAAAAATTCATTAAAATCACTCAACTGAGCTACAAATCTTTTTCACTATCTGATTGTTTGTTTTTGTATTCATACATAAAACTAATTTGACTTCAGTTTGTTTAGTGAACAATTAAAATTATGCACTAAGTAGAATTAGGACATTTTACATATCAATCGATACTATTAGCGGTAACCATAATGTATATCAAAACAAGAAAACGCTGAATATCTATTTTGTCTTGATTAGAAACTCCTGAAGAGCATAGGTCAACCACTAGAATTCTCCATCCAATACTGTTCAGGAAAATCCTTTCTGGCTCTTCCAGGTTGTAATTCATTCTTCTCCTATCCGCTTCTATTTCCCGACATAATGTGTTCTTTCGACATCATCTTTTCCGCTTCCCTTTAGCATTCCAAGTAAGGGTTTGCCTCATGATGCAGTTTGATAATATACCCAATGTATGTCCTATCCATTTCCATCGTCTTTTCCTAATTTCCTCTTCAGTTGGAAGCTCGTTTTTCCTCTCCCACAGTAGATTGTTGCTGATGGTATCCGGTCAACGGATGTTGAGTATCTTGTGTAGACAGCTATTGATAAATACTTGTACCATCTTGATAGTGGTTGGTGTAATTCTCCAAGTTTCAGCTCCATAAATAGAACCGACTGCGTTGACGTTCATATTGAAGATTGTAGCTTTGATATTGCTATGTCACGATAAGCATAATGAATGGTAACTGCTAGGACCCATTTATGAACCAATACTTAGCGTGTGTTTTTATCTTATAATTGTTAAATAACTAAACTATCCGCAGATTCATGTCCCTCTTATTATAAGCTTTATTTTGACCTATGAACCATTATTATACTATTTAGCATTCTTGAGTTATGATCTGTTTATCAATTACCATCTTCCTCATTCACTGCCACATTTAGCCAAATCTTGTACTAATGTGTATTTTCTATTTTATGGTACGTTGTGGTCTGCTTGTTTGATATATAATTCAAGTATGTTTGAAATACATGATTTCTATTGCAGAGGCTGAGATTGTTGTTCTAGACTTAACTGACTGGGCTAGACAGGAAGCGAGACCAATCAGGACTCTACGTTGCTCGTACAGGTTTTACGCGTCATTGATTCGATCGATAATTCACTGTTCTCTAATCGGCGATCGTAATATATAACAGATATTAGTTGACAAACAGTTGTTTCAAGTTCCATATGGCCCTTGCTTTACCAATTGTCGACTTTACATCTGTATTTGATCCACCTTATTGATTGATTATACTTTCCAGGTACAATCAGACATACAGCTGATGTGAAACGAATCAAACAACCTGGGTTGAAAATTCATAATCTCACTTACAAATAACATAATTAAATTAAACCTAGATTTGATTCACTCAATTGATATTATGATTATATATATATGTATATGTAGACAATGACTTACTCGAGTAGTAAAACATAATGATAGGGGAAATGTTACAATTACCAATAAATAAGATAATCCCAATAGAATAAAACCAAAACAGCCCAAATCTCCAGTAGCATCTGATAAGACTAAATAAATAAAATTAAAAAAAAAGATTAAAAACAAACAACCATAATAAAAGTCACTAACAGAAACAAAAACAAAACAGAAAAGAAAAAAGTAAAAGAAAAAAAAAGGAAGAACCACAAATCAAAAAGAAAAACAATGTAGAATAATGTACTATGCATAAAACGAATAAATGATAAATATATATATATATATATATATTTACTTTATTGAAATAGAATATTGACCTTCGCTGCCCCCCCTCCCTCTTGTAAAGAATAATAAGATATGAAATAGGCTATTGATGATAAATCACTGTTTAATTCTTTGTTTTAAATTATAAAGAAAAACAACACAACAACAAATATTGCCGCAAAAAAATAAATTTTATTTAAATTGGTCAGATTAAGAATAGAATAGAAACCATTCCATTGAGTTACATTGATATAGATATAGATATATAGAGAGATATACCTACTTACTACTTACTTACGCCTGTTACTCCCAATGGAGCATAGGCCGCCGACCAGCATTCTCCAACCCACTCTATCCTGGGCCTTCTTTTCTAGTTCCATTCAATTCTTGTTCAGTTTTCTCATATCTATCTCCATTTCCCGGCGTAATGTATTCTTTGGTCTTCCTCTCCTCCTTCGACCTTGAGGATTCCATGTGAGGACTTGTCTTGTGACACAGTTCGGTGTTTTCCTCAATGTGTGTCCAATCCACTTCCAGCGCTTCTTCCTGATTTCTTCCTCCACTGGGAACTGATTTGTTCTCTCCCACAATAGGTTGTTGCTTATAGTGTCCGGCCAGCGGATCTGAAGTATTTTGCGTAGACAACTGTTAATAAACACCTGTATCTTTCGGATGATGGATTTCGTAGTTTTCCAAGTTTCTATCCCATACAGTAGAACTGTCTTGACATTTGTATTGAAAATTCTGACTTTGGTGTTGGTTGCTAATTGTTTTGAGTTCCAGATATTCTTCAGTTGTAGATATGCTGCTCTTGCTTTGCCGATCCGTGCCTTCACATCTGCATCAGATCCACCGTGTTCATCGATGATGATGCCCAGATATGTAAAGGTTTTTACATATTCCAAAGCTTCTCCGTCAATTGTGATTGGATTGGTACATGCTGTGTTGTATCGAAGAATCTTGCTTTTCCCTTTGTGTATATTGAGACCTATTGCTGCTGAGGCTGCAGCTACACTGGTTGTCTTCTCCTGCATTTGTTGTTGCGTATGCGATAGAAGAGCCAGATCATCTGCGAAGTCTAGATCATCCAATTGCATCCTAGCTATCCACTGTATCCCGTGCTTCCCTTCAGATGTTGACGTCTTCATGATCCAGTCGATCACCAGGAGAAAGAGAAAGGGTGAGAGTAAGCAACCTTCGAACGACTTTGAGAGAGATATACTTGATATAATCAAATTCTTATAAAATTTTATAAATACAATTACTATTATATTATTTGTAAACAATTCTTATCTCAATGTTATTCAGTCAGTTAGTTAGTTAGTTAGTCAGCTATAATATAGGATTAAGTACATAGATGCATTGGTCTAAATTGTTATACTTCATTAGCACAATAAGATGAACATCGGATATGCAGAAGTTGTTACTTCAATAGTAGTAATATATGAAAGAAAGATTTTTTATATAAAGACATCATTCAATTAGTCAGTAACAATGTGGAACTTCGTACGTACGTACATCAGTTCGAGTTGCTGAACCAAATTAGCACACAAATACAACTGTCGATTCAAATCCCATAATGGTAGAGGTAGTAAAAGTATAAGCAGTAATCAGAAAGATTACGGTTTAAAGAGGTTATTCAAGGAGTATAATCCAATGAAATAAATTTGAAAAGAGGAAAAATAAGAGAAATGAAGAATTCAGAAGTTTAGAATTCGTAAGAATAAAAAAGAGTGGATGCACCTGCACCATCGCAAACTATTTTGAGCCATATCATTCACAGGCTTCAATCATCGGTTGCTATGGTCTCGCGGATCTCAACCAGGTAGTCTACACCTACCAACATGACTCAGCCGATATGTCAGTGACTTCATGAATTTGTGCCATGTTTTGGTCTGGCCATCCCTAGCCTTCTTTCAACCTACTCCCATACCATTAAACATCGCACATCGGTGCAGTCGGTGTCTGGGCATACGTAACATATATCCCAGCCATCTCAAATGATGAAGTTTCACTTTCTGTACTATATAAGAATATGGTGCAGGAAAAAAGAACTAGTTCGTGGAAAGAAAGATGTGAAGCGATTCCAAGCTCTTAGTTTAAGGGAAGACAGAGAGTGTATACACCGACGCCATTGTGATCGATTTTGAGCCATGTCATCAAGAGTCTCCAACCACTGGTTACGATAGACATGTGGACCCCAATGAACTAGTCTGTATCCATCAAACATGGCTCAGACTAAAAGTTAGTGCCTTCAAGCGGTGATGCCACATTTTGATTTGGCCTCTCCTAACATTCTTTCAACTATCCTCAACACTAGTCAGCATTGCGCGTTGTGGTAATCGGTATTTAGGCATAAGTAACATGTAGCTTGACCATCTCAATTGAAAAAGATTCACAACCTCATCAACTGATTTACCATCATTCCCTAATACCCTGAGTCTAACCTCGCTATTACTTACCCGGTGATCCTAGCAGATGCAAGCAATCTTTCTAACAGCGCTCAAGACCATTGTTTCTCAATGTTATCCCTATGAAAATTCTGTTCATACAACTGAATATGTATGATATGAAGTTATGGTTAACTGTTGTTACAAATCAATATTTGTGATAAACATATACATTAAGTTATGGATATAATATAAAAGGCTATAATGTTAGAAATGTAAAACGGAAGTATTTCCTTGAGTTCTACTGAGAACATGTGACTAGTAGAATTCAACCGGGTCTGTTGTGAGATAATACTTTACTAATGACAATGATGGATATGTCGGTCGATTTTATGGATTAATTGAAGTTAGATATTAACACCGTTGAATGACAATCAACTTAGTGTTAGAGAGGTGAAGTATTCTTACGCGAGATCAATAGGTCCTGGGTTCGAATCTGACAATAGGACGAAATGACCATGCATTGCTTCCAGATTTTTCATGGTGATCTATCTTCAATGGACTCATGATCTTAACTATTAAAATGACTATAATATCCACAAAAAAAACCCCTTCTGATATTTATCAATCTATGCTCACTAGTGACTGACTTCAAGAAGTATTTCCTGGAGTTCTACTGAGAACAAATGATTAGTAGAATTCAACCGGGTCTGTTGTGAAATAATACCTTACTTATGACAATGATGGATATGTCGGTCGATTTTATGGATTAATTGAAGTTAGATATTAACACCGTTGGATGACGGCCAATTCAGTCTTGAAAACATAAGGTGTTCGCGCGCGAGACCGATAGGTTCTGGTTTCGAATCTCGAGAGACAGAATCGTGGAATTCCACATCAGATGAAAACGGCCATCTAATGCTTCCATATTTTCCGTGGTGATCTATCTTCAATGGACTCATCATCTCAACTATTAAAATGACTATAAGATCTGCAAAAAGCCGCCCCCTCTTTCTAATACTAAATACTACTTATTATTATTAATAATCATCTTGTTAATATTGATTACTACACATGATTACGTAATACCATTAATGTAATAAGAATGATACATATTTCATCCATACAAAAAAAACAAAAAACATTAACGATAGATATAATATAAACCGTTACATTTTCAATACGGGAAATATTTTAAGTATTGGGAAATTCTAAAAGAAACAAATTTAGAATAACCTCCAAATCGAATGGATTATTGATTTTTTCTTCTCAACTTATAACATAGTAAAGCCCATTCAGATGTATTGTGATTCACAGTGTTGCTGTTATCTTACAATTGTTCTTTTCCCAAATGTTACTTCTTCAATACTTATCTGATTAGTGCCATCAATATCGTCTATTCTAGGTCAATAACTTGAAAAATTTATTATTAAATGAAAGGTAGACTTGTTCATAGGAAGTCGACTGTTACCTATAGATAAGTCTAGATCTAGACTCTTCTATTGTACACAAAACAACAAATGTAGGAGAAGACGACCAGTGTAGCAGCAGCCTCAGCAATTGTAGGTCTCAAAATACACAAAGGGAAAGCAAGATTCACAGATATAACACAGCATGCAACAATTGAATCAAACTTGACGAAGATTTGGAAGATGTAAATGGCTTTACATATCTAGGCAGCATCATTGATGAACACAATGGATCTGATGGAGATGTGAAGGCGCGTATTGGCAAAGTAGGAACAGCATATCTACAGTTGAAGAACATCTGGGACTCAAAACAACTGTCAACCAACACCAAGGTCAGAAATTTCAATCCAAATATAGGTACTATTGTATGGTTAGGAAACCTGGAGAACTACGAAAGCTGTCATCCAGAAGATACAATTGTTCATTAACAGCTATCTACGCAAAATACTTCGGATCCGTTTGCCAGACACTACGTTCGGAAATGGGGACAGATATGAAAAATAGAAACAGTGATTGGATAGAACTAGAAAGGAAGGCCGAGGACAGAGTGGGTTGGAGAATGTTGGTCGGCGGCCTATGCTCTATCGGGAGTAACAGGCGTTAGTAAGTAAGTAAGTAAGTAAGTAAGACTTGTCCATTCTGGTAGTGGTTAGTGAAATGGACTACAATTTTGTAGTGAATATCAGTTCCAATGAAATTCCAAGACAAACATTTTAGACGGGTATCAACTAAGAAAGCGTGTCAGTTCAAAACTTTTGATCAAATTTGTTCACTTAATATTAGATAAGATTATGCTACCTAACATTGAGACAATAGTTTGATAGAAAATTTGTATAATATAACATATGACTTATAAGAATTGATACAATATAGTGTTTTAATCCTTTACTCTATAATAAAAATAATTAAACTGATTTCCCAAAACTTGATCTTGTTGTGGTATAATCCCTACGAAATGTAACAAAAACC